ACCTTTACTCAACAGATCAAATCACAGTGAAATTCCCAGCTATAGCAGACTTCCACACCTTGGCAGAATCCTCATTTATTGAAGGTGAAGACAACCAAATGCTCATAGGAAATATTTCAGCCTGCCCAGCGTGTTTTGTCATTGTACTTCCTTTGGGAAAACATCAGGGAGAAGGCGGCTCGGCTGCCAGGAAGCCCCGTTCATTATAGAACTTTACAGTTGGGACCCTCAAGTCTGCTGTGGCTAGTCCCTACTTTACAGATGATGAAATTTGGGGATTAAGTGATTTCCCCAAGATTGTGCAGCCAGTTAATGGTAGACAGACGTTCAACAAATAATGCCCAAGGGCCTCCAGACAACAAACGCGTGGGCTTTGGCCCCAGAGGACTCCAGAGTGGAGGATGAAAGTCTAACTCGGACCAAGTCCGGCTCAAAGGCTGTCCTAGAACCGTAGCCTCTTAGGGCAGGGAAAGATCGGGACAACACTCTGTTTACCTGCTGACAACACAAATCAAGGAGCAGAGTGATTCACCCACTCAGCTTGCCTCACCTGTTAGACCCCCACACAGTAAACCAGCGTCCCTTCCCGTAAGATCAGTTTGCATCGCCATAAAACCGAGGCGGTATTTGGTATCCTGGAATTGATAGAGGATTCTAAGTAACTGAGTTCAAAATTCAGGCCTTTGTTTCTAGCCTTGTGGAGGTGGACACTTTTAAGCCGGTTGGCCTGCGGAATGAATGGACATAAGGAGAGGAGGCCAGGAAGGGATTTATTCTGCAAGCAGGGACGTTCTCACTTGGGTCTCATAGGGATAGAGCAGGGCACCGCTTCAGCAGTAGGGCAAGACTCCTACTTTGTCGAAGGAGCTTTTATTGAGCACGTACTAGGTGCCAGACGCGCTGCCGGGCACTGGGTCTGGAAAGAGCTGCTGGCTGCCCTTGTAGGTGCCTGCCCTGTGTGATCCTACATGCAGAACACAGAAGTTCTCATCCAGTATGTTCTAGAAACCAGGTTATTCTATGATTATTCTATATGGTGGTCTTCTCTCCAACGATAAATATAACAGGACGTGGGATGCTTTAGGAGGATAAAGGCATACACTTTGGAGGAGGTGGGTTTGGGGGTGTCATCTTTGCTTTATGATGTCCCCAGTAATAATACTAAGAAAGCATCTGTCCTCCAAAACCCTAACAGTGCGGGTGAAACTTCTATTTGGATCTAGCTTCAGGAGAGTAGCACAGATGTAAAGCAAAGTTTAAAAAAAAAACCAAAGGAACATAGACATAGAGTCAAGTCTGCTGTCTTCCAACCAGCTGCCAAAGATCAGATCTGAGCAGTGTCCAACTACATTTCACCCACATTTGCAAGAACCATCTAGCATTTGCACCTTCCTCCTAGCTCCCGGCTTTCCCTGGACCACCAGGTTTGCCCAGGGGGAATCAGGTGATTCATAGAACTCGGTGCTGAGTACCACAGTATAAACTGGTAAAGCTGAATGGAACCTTAAAGATTCTCCAGTCCAACCTTGCCATTTGACTAATGAGGAACTCAGGCCCAGAGAGGTGCACTTGACTTTCTCAAGGTCACGCAGTTCAGTGGTGACACAGTTTATGGAACTTTACATAGGGAGGTCAAGAGAGCTCTTATCATTGAAAGAAATTCTTCCCAATCTCTGCCTAAAACAGCCCCTTCCAGGCCTTTAAAATGCTGTCCCTTAGGCTGATAGGGCGGGACGACGCTGGGAGACAGCAGATTTGATTCTGAACAGTTTCGGTGGTCAAGTGCCTTCTCTTCGGTCTAGATTCCACCTTTTGTAAAGAAAAATGAGTAAGATTTTACAAGGAGACGGACAAATGAGCTCTAAATTCCCTAACATTCTATAATTCTAACACCACTCCGGGCTACCGGTTGGTGGAAAGTGCACCCATTTTGCACGTTCAAACCACAGATCGTAACATGCAAAGAACGAGTGAGATAGATACCTATCACCAGAGTCTTCTGCCGATGGATAGGTAATCTTCTCTTCATACCAAAACTACAATCTTGTCCTAAATACAGTCCAACAAAAAGACTGTCTCTTGACCCTGTGGAGGCTTTAGGCTAGAAAGAAATTCAGTCTTTGGGGACTTTATCAATTTTTTTTTTTTTTTTTTTTGCCTTTATCAATCTTATCCCAATCTTTATCCTAAGATCTTAGGAGCACCCTTCTGGGTTAGAACAGTCATGCCAGAGGTCCTTGGACTTCATTGCCACTTAGTCTAACTGCTTGTCAGAAATGTGAACTCTGGAAGGACATGGCCAAGTGGTTTTACTATGCATTTCAGTCATAGGGTTCCTATCATTACCGTCAACAAGGACTTAAGTCCATGGAGACAGAGGCCATCCCTCTGTCTTTCACCGTAGTATCCCTGATGCCTAGCATAGGGTCTGGTCCCTCCTAGGTACTTTGTTGAAAAAAATAAATACAAGCTGTGTGAAAGGTCTGGGGGCAGGAAGGCAGAAGGAGGTACAAAGAGAGAAAGGCCCCACGGTTTGTTTTCCATGAGCCTATTATTTCCGTGAGCAAATAAGGTAAACACAAATAAACAACACCCCATTACTAAGTGATACCTGTCACAAGAAGAGAACCCCCTAGGTTGAGTTGGTCAGAGGAAGCATTATGGAAGAGAGAAGATTTGACGGAGCAGGGTCTGACAGGTGCCAGCTGTAAAAGTAGGGGGGCAACCAGTCCCTGGAGCCGGGGGAGAGGGCCTGGCCATGGGCAAGGTGGTTAGAGACTAGCGGGCAGGGAGGAGTCCATTTGGACTGCAGCCTGAGTCAAGTCTTAGAACGGGAAGCAAGAAGGCTACAAAGATAGGGTGGGGTCCAACGATGAAGGCATGGAAAGCCAGGCTAATCCATGGGTTTTATCCCTCAGAAAGAGGAAAGCCACTGAAAAAGGCTGAGCAGAAAAATGTCATGACAGTGCAGCATTTCAGAGATTAATCGTACTGGACACACGGAGCCAGTTAGGCTAGTAAAGGCGTCTTGGGCTCCACAAGGAAAAGTCCAAACTAACAGCCTGGTAGGGGGATGAAATGGAAGGGGTGAAGCTAAGGACCTAAGCTGTGAGCTCCCACCACTTCCCTCTCCCTCTCCCCCAACACCTCTCTGTAGGGATAAACACCAAATACTAGATGGACCCTATTACTGGGAAGTACTTTTTGTGGGGTTTTTTTGGGGGGAGGGGGGTTCTAGACCTTCAGCCTAGTAGTGTTTTCACACCCCTGCCCCGGCTGCCTCACCTTGGGAGTGGATTTTGAAAGTCTGATGAAGGAGGGGTGTTGTGAAAACCTCATTTGCGGGAGGGCTCCCGGCTTCTGTCTTAAATCAGCTGCTTTCCTTGTTGGGGAAGGCTGATGCCAAGCTGTTCTGTCGCTGCCCAGCCTACATCTTGATCCATTTAACTGGCCTTCCCACCTTTGTATGTGCTCTGAGAAAGGATGCACTGACACACAGCAAAACGCAGAGGCCTTTGCTGCAGAGGGCATAAGCTTTTTTTAAGCATCTTATGCCCTATTTCGTTCAATCAAATATTTAACAGTGAAGGACAAAGAGTGCGTATACTGTCCTTTTAGAGTCCCAGTCTACAGTGCGAATGGCACCATCGATAGGATGAAGGACACTAAGTTGGGTCAGATTTGCTGCTTTTTATGATTTAGAGAGTTAACTCAGAATGTGGTTAGATCCCAACACCAAAAATTGGCAAGTCCGCCGGAGAGATGAGGTTGTGTCCCGTTATTTTTCAGCTGCCCTCCAACATCAATAAAACCTGCCTTAGTACTTGAACACGACAACCTAATGGCCAGGAGAAGGACACCCGTGCATCCTGAAAATTCAACCTGTACACAACTGTATGATTGTAGAGAATTCTTAAATTCAAGAGCTCTAAGGCCATGGACTCATTATTACAGATAGTAATTCTGGGTTGGACTAGAAACACATCACCGTCTCAAAGCGCGCGTAACTGCAGAGGCTCTGAAAGCACGCTTCCCAGAGGGGAAGACGCAAGGTCAACCCCCCTCCCTCCAATGTTAAGTATAGTGTTTCCCCTTACTGGTGGTGTTACAGGCACAGGTCTGCTTGTTCTGATGTTTGTGGCAGTTCACATGCAAAAGCATACTGAGGTCAGGGCAACTTGGCTAGGTTCACTGGCCGCCCAGGCCTTGCAAATTTTCAGTGCTCTATTCGGTCACTGAGTATGTGTCAATTGCTAACACATCAAGTAGTGGTTAACTTTGAGGAACTTACTCACGATGGTTACATTCTGTTCGTGTAGGTACATCCGCATGGAAAATGCCAGATCATAATCAGAAGGAGAGGTAGCTGATGATCTGAATGGCTGGGGGCATCAGCCAGAGACACATAGGATGCCACAAACATTTATCCTATGGAAGATGCTAGATGGACTGTCAGTGTTTGCCTCTTAGCCTCCCTTTTCCTAGGCTTCATTTCTGATCAACATTATGATCAACCCACGCTTCCTTTACACCTAACTTGTCTTCAAGTTCAAGGTCAGCATCAATACTCGGGTCTGGTGGCCATTCTGTATCCTTCAGGGTGCCTCTAACTACGCTGTTCTGATCCCTTTTGTTTGTTTTTTTCCCCATTTAATTATCACAGCTGGGAAGTCTTCCTTCCAGATTCTTTGGGGGCTCTGTATACGATACAAGTCTTTGGAGCTCCCAAAGAATCTGGAAGGAAGACTTCCCAGCTGTGACAATTAAATAAGTGTGCAATTGTTATCCAGAGACTTTATAGTAACCGCACATTGTTCAAATATTCATCACCCTAAGAAATGTGGTAAGTAGTCCTTATCTGTTATGTTTGCTAAAGAGTAGCAGAATCATCAACTCTCATGCTATTGGCTGGTCTGATTTTTTTTTTTTTTTTTTTTTTTTTTTTTTTTTTTTTTTTTTTTTTTTTTTTTTTTTTTTTTACTTTTTATTTCAGATTAAGAATGACCCAAAAGACATCACAGCTTTGTTCCAGAGCCAATGTTTATACTCAAGTGCCTGACGGAGGATGGGGCTGGGTGGTGGCTGTGTCTTTTTTCTTCGTTGAAGTCTTTACATACGGCATCATCAAGTCATTTGGCGTCTTCTTCAATGACTTAATGGACAGTTTTAATGAATCTAACAGCAGGATTTCGTGGGTCATATCAATATGTGTATTTGTCTTAACATTCACAGGTTGGTACCTCTTTCTGTTTAAATGATATGGAAGCATGTGCCGCTCTTCATTGGCTTAACTACATGATGTACTCACCATATTGGCAATGCGTTCCTCATATGGCCCATGGGCCCTTTCTAGCCTCAGTTCAGTAACAGGGTTTTCAGGGGTTTGGGGATGGCGAGTAACAAGAGGCGCTGAAGGAGAGAGCCCCATCTGCCTGCCCTGATGGCCTTCAGTTTATACGCACATGCACTAGAAACCTACTGTATGCATAGTCTTAGGATACGAGAGATTACTTTGAGGCCCGCAGTAAAGCCCCGTCCTATGTAGTCATTTTCTGAAGAAGCAACAGCAAAACTACTTGCCGTACTAGCCCTGGTCTCATAAACGCATGCTTAGGAAAGAGGTCGGGACGTGTAAATGTGGATGCGTGAAGAGCAAGAGGATGTCAATCAGGATATAATGTAAAATTGCAAATCTTATCCAGGAGGGACACTCTGAATGCAGACAGCCGCTTCCCTAAAGGATTTCACTGGCTTACCAGAGTGCCTCTGAGAAAATGGGGTTTGAGTATACTTTTCTTATTTTTTTATTTTTTAAAATTTACATCCAAATTAGTTAGCATCTAGTGCAACAATGATTTCAGGAGTAGAATCCTTAGTGGCCGTTACCCATTTAGCCCATCTCCCCTCCCACAACCCCTCCAGTAACCCTCTGTTTGTTCTCCCTACATAAGAATCTCTTATGTTTTGTCCCCCTCCCTGTTTTATTATATTATTTCTGTTTCCCTTCCCTTATGTTCATCTTAAAGTCCTCATATGAGTGAAGTCATGATTTTTGTCTTTCTCTGACTAATTTCACTTAGCATAATACTCTCCAGTTCCATCCAAATGCAAGATTTCATTCTTTTTGACTGTCGAGTAATACTCCATTGTATATATATACCACATCTTCTTTATTCATTCATCCATTGATGGACATTTGGGCTCTTTCCATACTTTGGCTATTGTCAACAGTGCTGCTATCAACATGGGGGTGCATGTGTCCCTTCGAAACAGCACCCCTGTATCCCTTGGATAAATGCCTAGTCGTGCAGTTGCTGGGTCCATACGGTTTTCCAGAGTGGCTGCACCAGCTTGCACTCCCATGTTTGAGTATAATTTTCAATGTCCTACTTGTCTCTAGGTCCCTTACAGGCCTGATTCTCAGGACGGTCCGTCTGTCTATCAGGGGCCACGGCAAGGGCTTCCAAGAAAACACGGCCACTGAACTCACCTCAGAAAGTTAATGGGGCTGACCTTACACTTCCCTAACCCTAATATCCTAACAGTGGAACTATTATCTCTGAATTTTTCTGTCTTTAAATGTAGTTAGTTTTCAGCCACATAATGTCTTAAAGAGGCAGCTCCATGGTTCTTTCCTATCGAGTAAAGAATTTCTTACTACTCCTCGTACAGTGTCCTGGGAGCGTCCCAGAGGAGCTCTCCAGTTCCAGCTGAAGTCATTTACTTCATGAAATATGAATGTCTTCATGAGTATGAAGACATTTACTTTAAAAAAAATTTTTTTTTTTACTGTTATTCATTTTTGAGAGACAGAGAGAGACTGAGCATGAGTGGGGAAAGGGCAGAGAGAGGGAGACACAGAATCTGAAGCAGGCTCCAGGCTCCGAGCTATCAGCACAGAGCCCGACGCGGGGCTCAAACCGCGAGATCATGACCTGAGCTGAAGTCAGACGCTTAACTGACCGAGCCACTCAGGTGCCCCAAGACATTTACTTTTTTAATTGGGGAAAGTTTACTCAGCAAAACAATGTAAGTGCATTCGAACTAAAGTTTTACCTTTGGCATTCTTCAAATAAAAAGATGCCAGAGCTTCACTTTGAGCTCTTTTATAATCAAAAACAATGATACAGTCAACAAGAAATTTCCCGTTAATACTATTATACCAGAAGATCATTCTTCTAAATGCTATTATGATACGAGTTAATGCTTTGCACCAACGGGCCACCTAACAGCGATGAGAGTGGTTTCGTTATGAGCTCTATTCAATATTGGTTTATAGTCCACTAACAGAAGAGTTATATATGGACTCACCCCAATGGAATAAATTTAGTCGTTCTTGTTTTGTTTTGGGGTTTTTTTGTTTTGTTTTTTGCTTCTCTATCCAGCATGTTCTGTATTGCTCTCTTACCCAATTGTCAATGGTTCCCTTATCTTGGTATATTCAAGTGAGTATCAGTGTTGGCCTAAATAACATACCACTAGGAAACTGATCTGCCAGACCTAAGTGTTCTGCAGGATATGGAGTACGGACCCTAAGCGAATGAGTGAATGATCATCAGCCACTCTGAATTCGCTCGCCCCTAGCTAGCCTCCTCGTGGGGTGTTCAACTGAGCCTTCGCTGTACTTTCACATCATTTTCAGAAAAGTCAAATGAAACTGAGCTAGAAACTGACCCCAAAGGGAGCTTTCTAAAAAAGAATCCAAAGCAGTGACTGTATAGAAAACGAAGACGATTCAAGCCATCATAGGAAAACCCGTTTTTGTCACAGAATAGCACACATGACATGCATACCTAACTTTATAGGTGCTCATGGAGAGCCCACGTCGCTTTCATCTAAAAATAGAGCCATATGTTTTATCCTATTACTCTGGCTTTCTCGTTAAGAAGCCCAAAGAATGTACTGTCCCGTTTGAACAAATATAACCATCGTGTGAAATGTATTATATATCGCACATCATCTCTCCACGTTCAAGACTTGAGAAGGAATCTTAAGAAGGCTAATGTTCATGCCTCTGGGAATTAAAATGTCGCATTATGGTCTCTCGCTGCAGCTCCCCTCTCTGCTGTCCTGAGCACTCGTTTTGGGCACCGTCTCGTGGTGGTGGCAGGGGGCCTGCTTGTCAGCACGGGAATGGTGACCGCCTCCTTTTCCAGGAAGCTGTACCACATGTACATTTCAATCGGCATCATATCCGGTAAGTGCTGCTCCTGGGCTCCACAGTCCTCCAAATACTCCGTTTGAAAAACAAGGAAGGGGAAGGAGGGGGTCCAACCCAACATGTATCTTTTTTTCTCTTTCTCTTTTTTTCCTTTAAAATTAATGGTGCCCCAGATCGGTGGTTTTAAACTGGGCTGGATAGACTCCAGGGGATACGGGAATCTCTTCTCAGTGCCCAAGAGTTTTTGACTGTTTTTTGTTTTTTTTTTTTTCTTTTTTAATATTTACCAATGAGAAAGACAACTTCTCTTTTGCATTAGTTCGCAGCCCAAAGACATCATTTTCACCAAGTAAGATGGGAATTTCCTTAGCGGGTATTTCCAAAGTGGGAGTCTGAGACTTCTGGGCCGTAGGGGAGAAAGCAAGCATGGTAAACTTTGTCTCGGGGTCTGAGGAAACATTTTTCCCTCTCAAAGGAGTGCCTACAGGGGCGCCTGGGAGGGTTCAGTCGGTTAAGCATCTGACTTCAGCTCAGGGCATGATCTCGCGGTTCGTGAGTTCGAGCCCCGCGTCGGGCTCTGTGCTGACGGCTCGGAGCCTGGAGCCTGCTTCGGATTCTGTGTCTCCCCGTCTCTCTGCCCCTCCCCGGTCACACTCTGTCTCTCTTTCTGTCTCTCAAAAATAAACATTAAAAGCAGTCCCTACATTGCTTAACAGATGCTATATGTATTTAGTTAAGATTTGCACAACTTTTCATATATTTCTGCACCTATCAAAGCTCATTTCTTTCTTTTTTTTTTTAATTTTTTTTTTAACGTTTATTTATTTTTGAGACAGAGACAGAGCATGAGCGGGGGAGGGGCAGAGAGAGAGGGAGACACAGAATCGGAAGCAGGCTCCAGGCTCCGAGCCATCAGCCCAGAGCCCGACGCGGGGCTCGAACTCCCGGACCGCGAGATCGTGACCTGAGCTGAAGTCGGACGCTTAACCGACTGAGCCACCCAGGCGCCCCCATTTATTTCTTTTAAATACAAGTCTTATATAAGAACTATATTCAACAGTGGTCTGTGCATTGTGAATTATATAAATTCTTTTAATGCCGTAAAATAGGGGGAAAAAAACACAGGAAACAGTTTTTATACTCCTGGCATCCACGAACTGTTACAACTTTTCTAGACCTCTAATGAAATCCTTTTTTTTTTTTTTTTCAAGTTTATTTTGAGAGAGAGAGAGAGAGAGAGAAAGAGAATATCCCAAGCAGGCTCTGCACTGCCAGCACAGAGCCCGACTTGGGGCTTTATCTCATGAACTACTGAGATCATGACCTGAGCCGAAACCAAGAATGGTACGCTTAACTGGCTGAGCCACTCAGGCACCCCTGAAACCTTTTATTTTATCTTACTTTAGTTTTTACTACAGCACCTTTTTCCAGAATGAAATTCACTGGCTTCCAGAACTTACGATTTATACAATAAACACCCCTCCCTCACCAAATAGTTTATAAAGGCAGCCTCTATTTCCTCTTTTACCCAGTAATCATTTAGGAAATGTATTGTTTGGATTTCCAAGAGGTTCGATTGTCTGGTGGTTAACTTTTTTGGTATTATTTTCAGATTGTTACGCATCGTGACCAAAGTATTTGCTGGCACAAAAATCTCTGGGGAAACCAAAAATGTCTATCTGACATGGCACATAATATTAAAAAAAACCTAAGTAATTCCTAAAAATACGTATGTACATACATACATTAAATTAAATATTAAAAACAGGGGCACCTGGGTGTCTCAGTCGATTAAGCATCCAACTTCGGCTCAGGTCATGATCTCGGAGTTTGTGAGCTCTAGCCCCGCGTCGGGCTCTGTACTGACAGCTCAGAGCCTGGAGCCTGCTTCGGATCCTGTGACTCCCTCTCTCTCTGCCCCTCCCCTGCTCATGCTGTGTCTCTCTGTCTCTCAATAGTAAGTAAACATTAAAAAAAAATTTTTTTTTCCATAAAAAATAAAAAAATTCAAAAAACACAATAATCCCAGATCTTTGCACCCTTCTGTAATCAATCGTATGTGATGCTCACTCTTCTTTCTGGCTCTCTTTCAGGTTTGGGATTCTGCTTTAGCTTTCTACCAACTGTCACCATTCTATCCCAGTACTTTGACAAAAGGCGCTCCATGGTCACTGCAATTGCTTCCACGGGAGAATGTTTCGCTATGTTCGCTTTCGCCCCAGGTAGGCAGACCCTCGTGGTCCATGTACGGATGCGGGTTGGGCAAGCCCCTCTGCTCTTCTGGCCAACAGTCGGCTGACTCTACCCGTATTTGCCTTCTTTCCTGCAGCGCAGTTTGAGAATCTGTCCTCCCTCATCCCGTTTTAGGAATCCCTCCGCTCTAATACTAATCCGAGTTGACCTAAATAGGTCAACAGGTGTTAAGACGCCCATTCAGTGGGAAGGCTGGAAACATCCATTCCAAAATAACTAATTTAATAATTTGAGGCGGGTCATACTATTATCTTTCCTTTGTCAAAAGAACCCTATTCAGTGTGGATTTAAAATGTGCTGATAAAGTTAGCTTTATTATCTGTGTGTAGGTAATCTCGCGGCAAAATTTTTCTCCCTAGTTTACTTGCTATCTCAGTGTCCGCAGGTAAATTTCACTCTAACCAGCAACAGACGGTTAACCTCGGAGACCCAGATTCGTTTCTTACTCTGCCGTTTCCTTGAAGAATGTGTCTGTGATTATACTTTGAGCGAAGGAGTTAATGTAGAAGTGTTTAGGGGTAACGTGTCCTAGTGACTGAAGCTTTTCACATAGTTGAGAAAAATGAAATGTGTGTGTGCATACAGGTCTATAGGAAGGCAGAGAGACAGGGAAAATGTTAATTGTTGAATTTAAGCAAAGGGCGGGCAGTCACACACCCTGGTGTCATTCTTTCTGCTTTTCTGTCCACTTAATGTTGCAGGGAGACTCAGTGGTCTGTGAATGACCTGAGGGTAGGAACTGCATCTGGGCTTTGTTCCCTAGAAAATCCCTGCTACCTGGTAGGCACCCAAGAAATGTCAAATGGAAGGGCGCCTGGGTGGCTCAGTCGGTTAAGCATCCAACTTTAGCTCAGGTCATGAGATCATGGCTCAGTTAAGAGTTCTGAGCCCGCGATCAGGGCCTGTGCTCAGACTCCTTTTTTCTCTTCTCTCAAAATGTAATATAATAAAAAAATAAAATAGGTAGAATAAATGTAAATATTGCCACTTTGTCCTAGATGACATAAAGCTTCAAAAACAAGCCTAAAATATCTTGCAGTTTGAAGTTTCCCACATTAATGGGAGGCGGAAGGTGTGAAACCAAGGCTATACAAGTAACTGGACCACTCCCCCCGGAAGTGGGGCTGCCCTTGCTCACTCCTTCCTGCATAACCAGCTTCCCATGTCTTCATACCTGTCTGCTCTCAAAGAATTAGAATATCATAAAATTCTAATGAATATCATATTTACTTTCTGGATGATTACGAAGAAGTACTGCTTTCCAGGCGGGGCCTGCATTATTCATTAGTTGTTGCTGTGGGCTCTCCTGCGGATTGTCTCCCCCCCGACCCCCATTCAGTGTCATGTCCGCTGTCTCGCCTGGTCAGCACCCACTACACGTTTCAAGGCTACTCTGGAGGGAAGGCAGGACTGACAGTAAAGGACAGTCTGCGGAGAGCAAACTGTCAGAACATGTCGTATCATGGAATTTAGGATCGTGTGAGCTCAGATGCTTAGCTTATCTTTTCGGCTTAATCCGTGACTCTACCTAAGCATGAGGAATGATCATAGGATGTAGCTCAAAGCGAGAAATTCTGTTTTAAAGGCCGATAGCGGAAGCCTGGGTGGTTTAGCCTGTGAAGACTAGCGTCACTTCAGCTAAGGTCCGACCTCAGGTCCCAGGCAGTTGAGCTCCCGCGGCCGGGCTCCTGGAGCTGGTCTCAGAACCTGGAGCCTGTTTCCGATTCTGGTCACTCCCTCTCTCTGCCCCTCCCCCGTTCATGCTCTGTCTCTCTCTGTCCCAAAAATAAATAAACGTTGAAAAAAAAAAATTTTTTTTAAAATAAAAAAAATAAAGGCCAGACGGTAAATACTTAAGGCTTTCGCGGACTAGAAGTATCTGTCAGAACCCCTCACACTTTGCGGGTTACAGCACAAAGGCAGCCATATACCACATCGGCGAATGAGCGGGGCCACATTCCAGTCAAGCTTTAGTATCAAAGACACAGGCAGTGGGCTGGACTTGGCCTGCAGGCTGCTGTTCGCCAAAACCTGGAAGTAGGTCACCGGCTTACTTCATTTCTCGTGCCTCCACCGGGCAAAACGCACCCTCCAAAGCTCTTCTGGGGACCTAGGCTGACAGGTTTGGGTTTGCATCTGATAATCCCTGTGCACTTCTTCCCCTGATCGGTTCAGAACAGCATCAAAGCCTAGAATGAAGGATACAGTACTGGCGGACCGCATTCACCCTGCCAAGTACTCACTGCCAAGTCCTAACTTTTACCGAAGTTAGTACTCAACCGGAACCCTTATTTCTGCTCGGTATTTTCTCCTGGGCCTCGAGTCTGTTTTCTGACCTTCGATTTTTCTTTCTTCTTCGCCCCCGCCTCTTCAAGCAATCACGGCTCTGAAGGACAACATTGGCTGGAGATACAGTCTCCTCTTCGTGGGCTTGCTGCAGCTGAACATTGTCGTCTGCGGGGCGTTGCTGAGACCGATTATCATCAAAGGACCGGGGTCCCCGAAAGCAACCGCACACGAACACCGGAAAGAAGTGCAATGCATGCTCGAAAATGAGAAAACACGCACCTCAATAGATTCCATTGACTCAGGAGTAGAATTAACTACCTCACCAAAAAATGTGCCTAGTCACGCCAACATAGAACTGGGGCCGAAGGCCAATGTGCAGCTGGTGAAGGCCAGCTCCAAGCGGAGCGATAAGAAAGCCCCTCTACTGGACTTCTCCATCTTGAAAGACACAAGTTTTATCTGTTATGCGTTGTTCGGTCTTTTTGCAACCCTGGGATTCTTCGCACCTTCCTTGTACATCATTCCCTTGGCCATTAGTCTAGGCATCGAACAGGACCGCGCTGCCTTCTTATTGTCCACCATGGCGATTGCTGAAGTTTTTGGAAGGATCGGGGCCGGCTGCATCTTCAACAGAGAGCCCATCCGGAAGATCTACATTGAGCTCATCTGCGTCATCTTATTGACTGTGTCTCTGTTTGCCTTTACTTTCGCTACTGAATTCTGGGGTCTGATGTCATGCAGCATATTTTTTGGGTTCATGGTTGGAACGGTAGGGGGTACCCACATTCCACTGCTTGCCGAAGACGACGTCGTGGGGATCGAGAAGATGTCTTCTGCGGCGGGAGCCTATGTCTTCATTCAGAGCATATCAGGACTGGCGGGACCACCTCTTGCAGGTAATTTACCTACACGAAATCCGAGCCCTTGTCTACTATCCCCTTATGGGTTGTGCTGGCTTCTTGTGAGAGTCTTAAAACCTACTGGTTTTTATATGGTCCATAGAATTTCAGAGCTGACAGGATTAGAGATTACCTGAGCCAGCTCTCTTGACTTAAATAGGAGGAAATTGAAGGTCAAAGCATGTAAGCCAACAATCGTATGGTAAATGAGTGACCAAGTCAGGATTAGAAGCTCCGTCTGCAGTCCAGGCTGCCCCAACCTTTGGCTGCCATCTTGCCTTGTAAATGCTCAAGGGGTACCCATCGCTGTATAACCTCACTCATTACCCTCTGACTTTTGGAACCACAGCACAAAAGGACTTCTGTAAGTCACCTGCCCTTCTTAGGAAGGGTGTGAGGAAACTGAGCACAGAACTCACTCTGCAAATACTTAATTGATCACTACACGATATTTCCTGGCGGAAGGACTTGGGTGTGTTTCACACCTTAGCCCCGGAAATAGGTCCTCAGAAGTTATTAGGACAGAAATCTTGCCTCATCTTAAAAGAGCCCTAAAGTGAACTCAAGTGAAAATAATAGAGTTCTTTCTTCTCACTGTTTCCTTTTCCAAGAAGCATGCGTCTAACTGTCCCGCGTTGTATGCTCCATGAGGACAGATTAGCCCGTGAAGAACAAGCTAGCAACCCAGCCGTCTCAGCTGTGCGTTTGTCTGACTTCTCCCTTCTCCCCAGTCTAGGGAAGACTCATATCTTCAACACCCTTTTTTCTTTCGAAAACCCAGCTAGAACACAGAAGGCTAAGCCACTGAGAAGCTTCTGGGTGAGAGAGGGTTTGTGGCCATGTTGCTAACAGATACGAATGCTTTCTCTCAGGTCTGCTGGTGGACCAGAGTAAGATTTACAGTAGAGCTTTCTACTCGTGTGCAGCTGGCACGTCTGTGGCTGCTGGGTGCCTCGCGCTTGTGAGACCTTGTAAAAAGGGACCATGCCAGCGTCATCCTGCAGGCGAGGCCCAGGCCGAGAATCCTCGTGGGAAAGCTTTACAGGACATACCCGAAGACTTTCTCGAAATGGACCTCGGGAAAAATGAGCATAAAGTTCACGTGACCATGGAGCCAGTATGACATGCTTTGCAGTAACGCCAGCCACCCTGTTGGCCGGGAGGTGGGCGGACGGTGGGCGGGGGGGGGACCCGGGGAGGTACGGGGGCTGTCGGCTCTGTGCACTTTCCAAATGACATCTTAAAGGGAATGTGTATGTGAACACGACCAACATCCTTTTCTTTTTTTTCCCTTGTAAGTTTTCCTTTTTGCTTGTGTCTTAAGCCAAAACAAAAACAACCCAGCAATTTCCACACATCAATCTGGTTGTCTTCAGTAGCAATAAGAGATACAAAGAAGGACCCTTTGGCTCACATTCCAAGTTTAAGACAGTGACGTGAATCGCCAGAGTGGTTTTAAGAGCTCTCGCATGTGATAAACAACGATCTTATAAAATGCCATCAGCCCAGATCGCTGAAATGAAATTGGCCACCAAAAAAAAAAAAAAAAAAAAAAAATCTTAAATCACCTTTCAAATTTCTCATTTTCAGAAATAGGAACAAATTGTTTAAAACCCCTTGGAAAACACTGAGGTCTCCATTAACAAATCATGGTTTCTCAGTTTTTCAACTATTCCATGGGAATGGAGTATAGTTTAAGACCAAACGTTTGGCTAACAAATTCTAAAATATATATATATAACTTGAACTTCATAAATGTGAAGATTACCACTTCTTTCTATGGCCAGTCATTACCAGAAGTATTTCAACACAGAATATACAGAATGGCATTCAAAAATATGTTTCCTGTTGCTTTTAATTATTCCGAAATATGTGACTGTAGTATCTTTAATTTAATCCACTATTTATTATTAAGTTATTCTAGGATGATTAAAATAATCAAAAGAAGTAAAATCTGAGACCTAAGCATCATTTTTACCTCCTTTTGGCAATCCTTGAAATGCCTCAGACCTCTTGGAAAGTTACTCTCATCAAAGGGCCAGGTTATAATGATTCTTCAATTTGATTAAAGGCCACATGTGCTAGTTAAAGGGGAAAAAAAAATAATGAATAGCAAATCGCCTTAGCTTCTTAAAATAATTTGTTTTATCACCTAAGAATACTTGAGGATCTCCTTTTGATTGGAATTCTATTTCATTGAATTGTTGAAGCATTTCTGATTTTTTTTTCTTCCTTTCAACAGCTAACTGTTGAAGCATTTCTGTATTTCACATGGGGTAGCAGAGACTTCGTATTTTACCATCGTACGTTACAAGTCGCCATTTACATCTTACATAAACCTTGATTGCTCTAAGTTGCCAGAGTTATCAGGTCAACTGGTCATTGTTGGTTTGGTTTTTTTGTTTGTTTGTTTGTTTGTTTGTTTTCGGAATCACACTACATGTATAGAATTTGTCATGTTACCATTTTTCCATAAAGAGGGCAGGTGTGAGGGTCACAGGGGGGCTACTTACTTACATGTAATGAATCTCACTCTGCAGGTGATGGTCCCTCACTGCTCTTTGATTCATCTTTACTGTTAATTTATGACAACTCAGGGGGAAAAAATATAACAAGCCTAGTTTGGTTACAGGTACACACAAGCTTGAATATTTCTCTGCACTGAAATGAAAGTGGCGTAGTTCATCACCACCTGCTACATTTTGTATAGCATTTTATCAGCCATAGAAATAGGACAATCTGTAAAACTTTGGGGGGGTGGGGGAAAAAATGACAAAGTGTCGAAAACAGACACACCTGGAATGGTGGATGTAAGCAAATCTCTGTCACTGCTTGAAAAGGACTTTGAGCTTTGTGGCAGTTTTGCAGACTTACATGACTTCAGCACTTTACAACATTTTTTACTATGAATGTTCAATACAATTTAATATTTATAACTGATTTCTGAGCAATCTGCCATTCTGTTCACTGCATGAAAAAAAAATGTATGCCAATTTCAGTATGTCAATAATCAAGGTTTTAAATGTTTTGGAGAAAATTAAAGCAGGATTGCTGATCTGTTCTGTATTTGTGACATTCTGGTATTTCTACTAGATATGCAATAAATGTATGGCTTTTTTTTTATTTAAAGAGACGGATTCCTTTTTTAATGGACTCATCAGCATTCATTGTGTGATCCAATTAAAGTTATAAAAACTCAAGGAAGATTCACTCCAAATAAATAATTTTTTTCACTTTGCTGCGGAATCTTTTAATTTTTTTTTTAACGTTTATTTATTTTTGAGACAGAGAGAGACAGAGCATGAACGGGGGAGGGTCAGAGAGAGAGGGAGACACAGAATCTGAAACAGGCTCCAGGCTCTGAGCGGTCAGCACAGAGCCCGACGCGGGGCTCGAACTCACGGACCGCGAGATCATGACCTGAGCCGAAGTCGGCCGCTTAACCGACTGAGCCACCCAGGCTCCCCTCTGCAGAATCTTTTAACTGTGCTAGAGATATTTAAACATTTCCAAGAAGTGTTTGTGGGACTTGATTACTTCTTAATGAAACATATATAAATGAGATGATATCTCGGTCACCACAGAGTAGGCGCAAAGCCTATCAAAAGTAATAAATAGTTGAGACTATCTATATCCAGTTACGGAACAGTCCTAAGAGCTATCCTAAGTAAACAGCATACCGTCCGTGCCAGGGATCAGCAAACTTTTTCTGTAAAGGGCCAGATAGTAAATATTTAAGGCCTTGCGGGCCAGGTGGGTTCTGTCACAACTACTTAGCCCCGCGCTTGTACTGTGAAAGCAGCACAGACAACATGTACGAGAATGAGCATGACTGCTTGAATAAAAACTTACGCATGGATCCTGAAATTTGAATCTCAGAAAACTTTCACACATCATGAGGTTTTATTTTGATTTTTTTTCCTCAACCCCACAGAAGTGTAAAAAATAAAAACCAACCCTATTAGCCTGTGATCTGGAAAGAGAAACAGGCAGGGGACTGACTGGATTTCGGCCCGTCGACTGTGGTCTCTGACCCCCTGCCCCATTCGCATCCGCAACACTGGAATGGTCAGTGAAGAGGAACGTGGGGACTGACAAGAAAGGATCACTGTGGTCAAAGTGGCTTTTAGATCATGGGTGCCAAAGACAGGAAAGATCAAACAGCTGATAGCATGTTAATTACAGGTTTCCATTTCCTGGGATTAAAGAGATTCTGCTTTAACCTTGTCGACTTAATAACGGTCCGGTATAAATGAAGACTGCTTCCCTCCCCAAAAGTAAAATTATTTCAGAGGTAAAAATGAATGAAGATCATGTCTCCTTTCAGACAAATGCATCCCTAATGTATCCTTCCAAATGTATCCTTAATGGATACAGTGGCTCCAAACCTTTAAACAAAGGTATCAGTTTTGTACTTCCATAATGTGTAATGTAGCCTTTGTGCATTTATTTGCCTTTCCTTTGGCTTAATGCCTGGTGATACGGAAACAGAAGAGAAAATATAGATCCTAAGTCCAGGCTCCCATGGCCTGCTATCCATTCAAATCACCCAGAGGTATTTACATTACATTTAGATTTTTGTACTCTTTCTCAAATATCCTAAATCAGATATAATCACGAATGCTTATTGTAAAAAGCTCCCAGATATCAGACTCACTAATAGGGATTCAAAGTTCAGATACTATTGCCTTTGGTTATGAGCATTGCTTGAAACGACCAATTTAAAGACAATTCCGACATGTTCTGTGCTAAAAGGTCAATCCTATAAGCAGCAGTTGCATGGAGAAAAGAGAAGCTGTCTTTGTTTTTGGTGTACATGTTACACATGCACATGTTAATCAAATAAATCAAATAAATGAGGGCTACAATCTCCCGACAGGTGGGCCAGCCTTTGTATAAGTAAGGACACTAGCTCCCCCTGGTGTTCGGCTTTTGTAAGGACTCCCTGAGGGTGCAAAACCAGAAAAGTGACAAGTTCAAGAACTGGCAACTTGGCTTTTCCTGGAAGAGAAACTCTCACATCCAAACCAAAATTACTTCAGTGACTATGGATTTCCTAGAGGGAAAAATGGAGAGCAAAAGTGATATCCCAGAACACTTTATCTGTAAAGGCTTTTTAAATAGAGTTCAGCGAATATTATGCAGAGAAGATACACATTGTGGCCACGTATTTATATTCTTTATAGACCTTTCCAGCAACTCAAGAAAAGAAATGCCCGTCAACTATCCTAGCAACGTCACCCCTAGAATTCAACCGAAGCCGTAAGTTCCTTCCCAACACCGACAACTCCTGTTCTAAGATCTGCCTTTGCAGCTGAGGTCCAGACTCACGCACGCCTGTGTGACAGCACCTGATACCAACCAGGCATCTGCACCTTCACATGTCCTCAGTGGAACCCCCACCTTCCTCCCCAAACCTGCTCCTCCCCAAATCCTACTGGCCTTACTTTCTAAATATAGCCAGAACCTGCTTTTGCCAACTCTACCAGGACCCCTGATCTAAGCCAACAGCATCTTAGCTGGATTACTGCAATAATCTTCTAACTGGTTTGCCCAATTCCACTTTTGTTTTAATTTTCCTGCTTTAAATTTCCATATAGAAGCCTTACAATACTTTTTTTTTTTTTGAGAGTGCATG